CTCAACCAACTGGCGCTGCGCAACTGCCTGAATTTACCCAGTTGCGTGATGACCCCAAAAATAGGCCTGTAGGCCCTGGGTCGAGCCTGCCTTCACTTAGGGCGGCCGACTGTGCAGAAAATAGGGCCCAGTAGGGCAGATCGAGGCCTTGAGCCTCGCATGAGGAGGATAAGAAAGAAAAAAAAGAAAAAAAGAAAAAATAATAATAAAATTTTGGTTTCGACTTACCTGCTCTTTGGCTTCGGGATCGGAGACGAGGCAGCGATGGCGGGGACGAGGCGCTAACGTGGCAGCAGCGAGGACGATGAGGCGGCTGCTGACGTGGGGACGATGACTATGACGACGAGGCGGCCACGACGGCAGGTATGTAGTTCTGTCGTGGCGGTAATGACAGCGGGATGGCTATGTCGTGGCGGTGCTGGAGACGATGGCGATGGCGATGTTGTCGATGACATGGCAATGACGGCTTCGGGGTCAACGGCGACGACTATTAACCAGGTTGGGAGAGAGGGCCGAAGCTGCTTTGATACCAGTGTGACGGGGCTGAGGCAGAGCAGCAAGGTCGGGAAAGAGAGAGGGAGGGAGTGAGAGCACACACACACACACACTCACTCAACTCGACACGGACTCTACGCAACTTGACGGACACGGACACAAAGTGGCAAAGTGGCAAAGTCGCAATCTTGGTTCCGTACACAAAGTCGCATCAAGTCACACTGAAGCACAAGCACTGAGGCTGAAAACCGAGTCCTCGAACTCAGCTCGAGTCCTGTCTTAAGCACCAGACTGGAGTTGAGTCTGAGGGCAAAAGTGCAATTTGCCTCGGGGCTGAACTGAAAATCGGAGGTCTGAGGCTGGGCGCCAGAATGCCGGATGGCGCCAAGTATGAAATCCGAAAGTGGCAGAGGCGGGATTTGAGAACGGCCGCCGACTGCAGAGGGCGCCAACAGTCAGGAACCGGAGATCAGAAACTCCAAAAAAAAAAGAATAGCAGCCTGGCGGGTGGTACCCCGCGGACCAGGGATCGAGCCCTGGCTGAGTCCCCCCCCCCCCCCCCTTTACCTGTGTACAGTATCCGTTGACGTGTGTGTTTGAACCCGTGACCTGCTCTCTGAAAGCCGTATGTTCGGCTACTGTATATGGTGGGGTCGCGTGGGTTTGACCCACAGACCTTAGTCTTAGGAGTCATAGGGTTAGTATAGGTCGTATCTGCTACAGTTCCGAAAGGTCAAGTCCACGACCTTCTAGAAGCTCTAGAACTGGCTCTTCGTCGGTCCTAGGATTCGGTCCACGGCTGAGTCAGCGAAGGGCAGTCCTAGCACAGTCAGCAACGGGGAGTCCCAGTCTTACTTGGTCCGGTCAGCAGTACCCAGTCCCAGGGTGCACTTTGTGTAGTCAGCAAGTAACAGGTAGGACTTCGTACATCCCGGGCCCGGAGTCCAAGGTATAAATAAAGAGGCAGCGTGGGGTCATTCATTCATTCTGCCTGTGAGCTGTGTGGAAGCGCTGTTGAAGCGTCTTGTGCTACGGAGGTCTGCAGGTGCCCGAGGGAGAAGAGGTCTAAGAGGAGGAAGATGCGGCCATAGCTGCAAGTCAGTAGTATGAGGAAGTTGACAGCCATAGCTGCCCGTAGGTTAGTGATAGGATGTGTATGTGTATAGGTTGTGCGAGTGTGTGGGACATTCAGGGTGATCCGATTTTGTGTGTGTGTGAGAATAAGTTGCTGGTGGATACAATTGATCGGGTGGGAATCGTTGTCTGGCACAACGTGCCATAGCCAATCAAGACAAGTTTGAATTTGAGCTGTGTTCGTGGCCATGTTTTATCTCTGAGCTTTGTGTGGGCGCTGAGCGCCAAGTTTGTTCCTCGTCTGTTTGCACACATGGTGAAGCGACAGCGAAGTCCAAAAATAGTCTCCCTGCCGAATGTCCAGTCAATGTCTGCCACAAAAATGTGGAATCAGATCCTGGGCCTAATAGCCCAATGTAACCTGTGCCTGTAAACTCTCTATCTATCTATCTCTCTCTGAAAGAAGAAGAAGAAGAAGAAGTAGAGAAGAGATGGAGATGGAGGGTGAGGACAGCGGGAAGAAGAAGATGCCACCCTCCTCGCTGTCTCACCTGCAGGTAACTGCTGCCATGTGCAAGCTGCCGCCGGCGTGTCTCTGGTGCAGGTCGCTGACGTGTGGACTCCAGCTATGGCGCCCAGGTAAGTACCGCCACCGCAGGTATGGCCACTGCCTCTCTCTCTCTCTCTCTCTCTCTCTCTCTCCTCTACCTCTATTGCAGCACCATGTCACGCTAGCGCTGGGCCTCGCTGGTGTGCCTCTGGTCCTGGCTTGAAACGTCCTGCCTGGGTCCCTACCGGATGTCAAGGCCCTCCCTGCTGATGCAGCAGCTACTGGACGAACACGAGCCTGGCCCGAAAGGGCCTGGCTGCGAACGAAGAAGGCCCAAAACGTGGCCTTTGTCTGACTGACCGAAAATCTGTTTGGATGAACTGCAAGTCTAAAACGACGCCTGAACAGACAAAAACAGGACAACAAATAAGTAAACAAATAAATAAATGCTGCCTCAAATCGAATCCCGCGGCCCGAAGGTCGGCCGTGGGCCTCCAGGGCGCATGTCTGAATGTTGTGCCCCCCAAGACGGGGCCCATGTGCACTCAGCATGTAACAGAGAGAGAGAGGGAGATTGCATCGATCAGTTGCCTCCAGCATGAATGAATCAGCTGTCATATTCGTTTTTGCGAGCGAAGCCGCAACATGTCATGTTGTTGACCCTGAAATTCTAATTTGGGGTCTGCATCGTGAATTGCCTTTCACTAGGCTGGAAGGTGACCGAAAGGACAGGTAGCAGCAAAAGCAAAAGAAAATGTAATGGCTTCCCTAGAACAGCTCAGCACGCAAGAGGGCTAGGGATCGATTCCTTAAAAACAAACTGCCAAAAAAAGGCCTGGGATCGAATCCTGGCAGAGACGAAATAAAGAAACGCTCATCAGTCTGGCAGATCCAGGGATCAAAACCTGCAATGCTTACAACTGCAAAACACGCAAGGCACACAAGTTAGTATAGAGCCCTGCTGGGATCAGAAAGGTGAAACCTTGTTATATTGTGTTTAGGAATAGATAGTTATCTAGCAGGGTATGATTTGGAGCTCTTGACTACCGTGGGCGGACATCATAGACAAGGTGAAAGGTACTGATGTTGGTGGGGTGGAAAATTCATAGTGAGCATCGGGACTCTTCACGTTGCAGCATATGTTGTAAGTGGATGATGACGATGACAGTGATTATGCTGACGATGGTGATGGTGATGATGAAAACAATTATGTATGTAATGAACTATGCTGGTGATGGTGGTGGTGGTGGCGATGATGATGATGATGATGCACTGGCATAGGATGTTGATGAGCCTGAAATGGAAGATGATCTTTTGTCGAATTGGAACCTGAAATATATGAATAAGATCATGTTTGTCCGTCTGAAGTTGCTGCTGGAAGGGTTTGGCCCTAACGTATGTTTTGTGGTACTTGGTGTACTTTGTGTTCGGTGATCACTGCACTCAGCGTATTTGCTACTTCTGTGAAGTGGAGTCTGCATTTCACTTGATGGAGAGTGATTAGACTTCTGCCATCCACCCATTGCCCACGCTAATAACGAAGCACCAATCCTAAGTTATCTAAAGCCTTTTGAACAAAGACTGCCTCCTTGTGAATCATCTGAGTGATTGTGGCTTAGCTGTTTAACTCGGGTAGGCTGTCTGATGAGAAATGACCTTGTGGCTATACGGTTGCTCGTGGCGTCTGTCTGGCTGTGTGTTTGTGCCTTCAGCAGCGGAAAGGAAAGACAGGTGGGCTATTTCTGTGCAACTGTGGAGGGATAGGAAAGTAGAGGAAAAAGATAAAGGGAGAAATATAGAGCAATCAAGGATCATCCAAGCACTGGACGGCAGAGAAATGAATGCGCCTTCACCGGAGACTGCTAGAATGAATCGGGCATATCGTGCAAATACAAGGAAGCGGCAGAGAGCAGCTACCGCTATGGTGGCAATGGCTACGAACTCCCAGATGATTTGTATGCAAGCAGTTCGAGCAAAGGGTGCTGTGGTTGGATCACGCTCAAAGAGGAGGCGACCAGAAACCTCAACATCAGTCACCAGTGCAGCCCCTGAAATTGTGGGCGTCAGGGCAGTCCTTGAACCGGTAGCAGAGTCAGGGACAATGTCGTTCACAGTTCCTGAAGCCGCTCCGGGTACAGAAGCTGCACCATTAGCAGGACAAGGGTCTGCAGCACCGGAAGGACCAGGGTTTGCACCAGTAGCTGTACCAGTGTCTGTATCAGCACAAGCACCAACATCTGTACCATTAGCACTACCAGGGTCTTTAGGAGTAGCACTAGCAGCGGCACCAGGGTCACCAGCATCACCAACTGCGGCCAGCTGGGCTGCTGAAACTGGTACAAGTTTTGATGGTGCTGCTGGTGTTCCTGATGCTGCATTGCTGCCGTCTTTGGGTATGTGGGAAGAAGCATTTGAAGCAAGCATGGCAGAAGCTGTAGGGAGAGAGGCAGAGGAAGAAGAGTCCAGGTTCGAGCAGATTAGGATTGAGCATTCTTTTTTCCCTGTGACCACCGAGCTATCGGTGGTCAGCATACGGAACAATTCCTCAGCACAAGCAGTAGATCTTGCTGGCACGGCATCGACATCGACAAGCAACAGGAGCATGGAGTTGGGTCTATCTTCGAGACCTATCGATGTCGATGATGATGAGGATGTGCGGGAGGTGTGCTCACATGTCCATGGTTTCACCTGCTTAAGGCCCCACTCACCAAGCCCGACAAATCTTTGTGCCTTTGTCGAATTCCGTCTCTCGCCTCTTTCCCTGTATTTGCCCTGCCTTAAGAGATCAAAGTGCTCTCCTATCACTTGCTTTCTTCTGGTATACGTTGCAGGGGCCACAACGGCAGCTGCAGAAGATTTGTTGGTGTCCCTCCCTGTCTCCTGTGCTACCTTTCATCTTTTGCACCTGGACCTCTTTTTCATCCTAGTTTGTTTGCCATCTCCTTGTGAGTCTCTTTCCGTTCTCTGGCACCTCAAACTTCACTCCTTTGTCTCTCTTGTTATTGCTTGATCAATCTTTTTCTTCTTGTTTGTGAGTAGAACACAACGATGAATGCCTAGTGCATTGCAGTACTTGACACAAATTACATATGTATATACGATGCTTGTAGTGAATTGCATGCAGTAATGCAGACCTGAGAAGACCATGCAACATGTGAAGTATCATGATGACATCAGCTGGTGATGCTTGAATGTTGACATTTCCTCACCATCACAGACCGATAGCAAGACCATTCACTTGAATGTGTGGGAACCGGAAGAGGATATGCCGAATGGGAACATGTTTACAAGGGCATACTCACACTGGACTGCCCAGAATGTATGTAAGTGCACTGAAAGTAGAATTCAGCCCTAAAAGTCGTAGTGTAAATACGGCCTGAGGATGCAATCTGGCTTAGTTCTGCCGACCTTCATGCTCTCAAATTTTCCCTATTACTCGATCACAAGGCAACTCAACCATGCTCACAGATCACAGCCAGCGCAAGGTGTTAAGCGGAAGCCTTCGCTCTCTCTGTGCTGCTGCTTCTTCTGCTGTGACGTCTTAATGTCTCTTCATGTCTGGCTGTGCCTCCCTTGCACCTTGGCGCCTATGGTGTTGTGTAAGGAGGTGAATCAACTGTTGTACTAGCATCTGGTTCAGCTTAGCTTCTCTCGCCTATGAAGTTGGAGTGTGTAAGAGGAGGGCAGGAGTGGTGATGGCAGTCAACCGGCATAGTAGAATACAGTTCAGTAGAAACCGCATTCGTCTGCTACGAGAGAAGGTTGGTAGAAGCTCTCTCTCTATTGTCTCTCCTGTCGTGCTGATAATTCTGTGTTCCTCACATCTGGCTGTGCCTCCTTTGGACCTTGGTTGCAAACTTGCTGTATTCGACCACTTCCCTGAAGCCCATTTTGTCGAACCGTTTTGTTTCCCAACCCGTTAGCTTCGAGCCTAATTTTTTTTTGGCTGGCAAGAGTGGCAAGGTCCTCACATCTGGCACCGAGCTATATTGGTGGTCAGCGTACGGAACGATTCCTCCAGGATCTTGTTTTTGTGAAGCATATCTTGTTTCTGGTTTGTCTGATGTTTTTCTGGAACAGAGCGCTAAACCTACGTTTCAGTTCTTTTTTGTCAAAAACGATGAGCTGGAAAATTTGCCAAATTGAGATTGCGCGCACTGTCACCTTCCCCTGCCATAGGCCGACCGTGTGCTTCATAGCTAAACCGAACTAACTTCCCTAGTCTGCAACCAGAACAGAGGCCCAACTCTATCTCCCTTAGAAAGGGCTCGGCAACCTTGTCGGAAACCAGAAAAGAAGTAGAAAAGTGTCTTGAGACTTTTCACATTAAAGGTGATGGCGCATGGCCTGTTTCAAGCCAGATGTGTGCAGAACAGAAGAAAATAGAATCTTCCGCGACGGCAATATCTGTGGCACATGAGGAGGTGCACGACAATCACCTCAAGCAAAATTTTCAATGTGCCAATAAATGTTTGATGCAACAGGTAATCCATTGCAGATCGCCTTCTGTATTCCATGACTCGTTCTACCAGTGCTCTTCCTTTTGGCTCAAGCACTCACCCTACAACCCTTCAAGCCAAATGTTTTTGCGTTTCTAGGTCCAGAAAATCTTAGAATCACGTATCTATCCAATCACAGAAGAGAGGAGCATGGGCTTCAGTCGCCTCGCTGCTTTGTGATTTTTATTCAGCATTGACTAGCGTTCCACCTGCATGGTCAATAACCTGTGACTTGCCATGCAGGCATAAGGTTAGTCCAATGCCAGCAGTCGAACAGTGTAAAAAGTGGAAGGTATTGTGGAAGCAATGAAAGAGAACATTTGATCTTAAAATTTCAAATCAAAGATATACGAGTTGCTAGAGTAAGGGTCTATGTTCTAGGGCACCAGTGTGCTTGCAGGTCTGCTTACAGACAGTGGCCATGGCTTAGTTTGTATTGACATTGAGCTTTGTAATGTGACTTGTACTGCCTGTTGCCGTCATTGGGATTTGCTGGAACTTGGCTTGGTTTAGATGGTGCCTACCTCAACCACGCAATGGAATTCAAATACTCGTTGATATTTTCGTTCTCAATTTCATCAGCAGACATACAGACAGTGTCTGTGCAGATAGAATTGAGTATGCAGATTGAGTTTATTAGCAAACAGAGTGTGCTTCCAGAGCAAATTGAGTATGCAGATTGACTCCATGCCTTGATCGAGGTAGTTAGCATTCCAGTGACCCATCCCGAGGCAAACACCAGAGATAACAAAAAGGCAGTGGTTGTGTTTGCTGATCAAATTGAGTATGCTGGTTAAATGCCGTGCGCTGGTTGAGATAGTCACCATTTATAAGGTGATGCAAATCACAATGAGAGTTAAAACGTGGCAAGGTACGCATTGCAGATAACCTTACTGTTAATGCAAACTAAGTTGTGGCTACTGGGAATAAAAAAAGGCGACTGGTACACATTACAGAACCTCACTGTTAATACAAACAAAGTCGTGGGTACGGGGAATCAAATATAAAGAATAACGTGGATGCCTTACATGACAGTCAAAATTGGAGAACCTTCCTCCCCCTAACACAATGCCTGGTTGTCATAGCTGTATTTAGCACAATATTCAGGCCAAAGGCAGATATAATGACCAGGCTTTGTCTTTGAAGAACAAGGTCCTGGCAGAAAGTGTGTTCGCCTCAGAATTGTCTATCTGGTGGGTTAAGAGTGTGCTGACACCCTCAGGGCTATTTTAACAGAATCTGAGGATCCCCGAAGTTGGCTTTCCCTCTGGGAGAGTAATGGGTGTAAACTTCCTGTGAATGAATCTGATGTTCCTTTTTAGCATTTATGGCTGCAACGGACATGTTCTTTACTCAATTGCACTGTTTTTCTGCTTCTAGGTTTTGTTAATGTGCCTTTTTGGTTTTGTGTTACTTTGTGCAGGTGAGTCCTAGTAGTTGCCCAGCCTCAAGACCTCGACGAGATCGTCGTTGTAATGGAGGTATGTGAAGGTGGCTGGAGGAACATTGTAAAATGGCAAATTGCACTCTCTTTCGTCTCCCCTGATGTCTGTGTTGATGTCCCAGGGCAACTGCCAATCCCCCTGGATACAGACATGTGAATGTGTTAAGTAAAAATGCACTTTCTCTTTCTTCTCCTCTGATGTCGATCTATTCCCGTAACCAGTGAATCACCTAAAGCGGTGGTAGGATCCCTGCTTGAGATACAAGAAGTGTACTGACACTCCCTCCCTCCACCTTCCGGCTGCCTGTCCACTGCAATGGAACATGCAACTGAGCGCCACAGGTTGATAGGACATAATACTGACCACCTACGAAAACAATAACCATGGCTACGATCCCGACGTCCGGACCGCCGTCCAGACGGTCTGGATTCAGTCCGGACTCCAGACGTCCGGTCCGGAAGGTCCGGAAATGCCCCCAAAAAAAAAGAAAAAAAGAAAAAAAACGGTCCAGTTCCCTCCCCCACTGAGGACCCAAGCCCTCAAAATTGTTTTAGGGATTTTTCAGGCCCGTTTTTGTTTTTTTGGGGGGTCCGGTCCATGTGCAGCGCCAGCAAACTGGATCCAGGTATGTTATACGTGTGAACTTTGAAAAATGCACTTCTCTGTCTTCTCAGTGATGTCTGTGTGGGCCCCGGGCATAGATCCAGACATGAAACATGGCACTGACCAATGATGGCTTTTGGGAGATATTCTCTTGTGGGAGAAACTCTTTAGACGTTACCCAGACCAAATCCCCTACAGCGAACTGCGATGGTCTGCGGTGTTTATTTGCTTGTTCTATCATCTGATGCTGTGCCTTTCTGATGTTCTCCCTTACCTTTTCTAAGTCTTTCTCATACTGCACTGCAAACTCTCTAGTCCCTGGAGGAAGCCTTTGCACTTGATCAGGGTTCAGACAGTCAATGGGCTTACGTGGGCGCCAACCCAAATGAAGCTCTGTGGGTGTTTGTGCTGTAGCCAAATGCACAGAATTGTTATAGGCACTAGCGACCTTAGCGAGATGTTCATCCCAGTCAATCTGATCTGTTCGGATGTACATATGCAGCACCTGTTGCAGCACTTTGTTAATCTGCTTGGTCTGTCCATTTGTCTTAGGATGTCTGCCTAAGGACATAGTCAGTGTGGACCCATAGACATTCTTGAGCTGTTGTCAGTGCTTGCCTGTGAATCTCGTATCCCTATCACTTACAATAGTCAAGAGATGCCCACCCAATGATTAAAGAACTCTCGAACTACTAAGTCTGTCCTGGCTTCAGCAGAGAGTAGCATAAAAACGGCAACTTGCTAAATCTGTCCACTATCACCATGATCTGGGTCTTCCCTTTCCTACTTCTCACCTTAGTGTCCATAAAGTCTATAGACACAGAGTCCCCTGGACCCGACCGTATATGCAGTGGTCTAAGTAAGCCAAGGGAATATAGGCAGTGGTCTAAGTAAGCCAAGGGGATGCTGCGTGAAACTTTAGTTCCGCTGACATATATGCAGCCCTGAATATAGGTTATACAGTCGTTTTTCATACCAGTCCACGTGTAGGAACGTAGGAGGCTAGCATATGTCTTCCTCCAATCAAAATGTCCCTCGGTATCGTGGCATTCCCCTAGGATTAGACTGCGAATCTCTTCATTGTTTGGGATGCACAATCTGTCGTGCACATCTGTCTTCTCAAACGGCAGTCCCTGGGTCACTCTATAATCCTGGAACTTTGTGTGGTGTTGTCTGCACCTTGCCAACCAAATGACTACAGACTGGATCACTGGTAATTCAACGCTCGCATCCAAGTATGTTGCAATGGCACCGAAGAAATCTGCTCGCCTACTGAGCGCATCAGCGACAACATTATACTTCCCTTTGACTTGCTGCAGTTTGAAATCAAACTGATCAATCTCCCCAGACCACCTCGTCAACTTAGGTTTCGTTCTAGCTTAGGTCTTCAGCCAGTGAAGTGTCTCATGGTCCGAATACACTTTGAAATGTCGACCTAGGAGGTAGTGTCGCCAATGATTCAAGGCTTTTCTAAGAGTAAACAACTATCTCTCATACGTGGAAGCGGCGACCTTCTCACTAGGTAGTCTATAGGACATGAACTCAACAGGTCTGTACCCATTTCCATCATTCTGTTGGAGTACAACACCTATGCTGTATTGAGTAGTGTTAGTGGTAACGATAAACGGCAAGGATGGATCAACGATCTTCAGAACCACGTACTCTTATCAAGCACTTCTTTAGACGCTAAGGTTTACAAAATTTATCCCATTTGCAGACTGTCTCTTTTCTCAACAGGCTACGAAACGGAGCAGCTATTACAGTCCTACGAACTTGCGGAAGTTGACCAGACCAAGGAATGATCATAGTTCCTTCAACAAACGCGGTGTCGGCCAATCTCTAATTGCTGCTATTTTGGCGCCTTCCGGCTTAATTCCATCTCCATCTAACACGTCCCAAGTTCAACACCTGGCGCTTGGCCCATCCCCACTTCTCTGGGTTCAACTCAAACTCGGCTTCGCGCAGCTTACTTAGCACTAAACGTATGTGCTGTTCCTGTTCTTCTAGCGACTTGCTGAAAATCAAGATATCATTAAAATGTACAACAATGAATTTGTTCTACCCAATCAGCGAAGGATTCATTCATACTAGTAGCTGGGACGTTAGTCAACCCAAACGACATGACCACGAACTCGTAGTGGCCATATCGAGTTCTGAAGGCTGTTTTGTGCTGATCCCCGGGCAACACCTCGATCTGATGGTAACCCGATTTCAAATGTATCTTTGAGAAAAACTTGCAACCCTGCACTCTATCTAGAAGGTAATCTCTCCGCGGTAATGGTTCTGCGTTTTTATGGTTATCGCATCCTATATTGTATACACATATGCTGATCACCTTCTTTCTTTGGCAACAAGATCGGTGCACCATACGGCAAAGAACTTGGCTTATTCCACCCTTTCCTTATTAACTCGTCCAAATGTTTGTGCAACTCATCGAGCTTTATGAGGCGTTGCCCCAGTCTGTTCCTAATATCATGTCAAAAGGAAGGCTATCCTTCGCTAAGAGTGTCAAGGAGTGCAAAACTTCCTCTACTTTGCCCCTGCCTCCAATTGGAAGTATGCCTTGACCCCATCAACATACTCACATACTATCATCTCTCTATTATCGGCCAATTTGCTAATGATCGGCTCATCGAGTTTTTTCACCTTGATTCCTAGGTGCATCTTTTGCAACCCTCTTCTACTAATATAACTGCGCGTCGACCCACTGTCTACGAACGCACCAATCCTTTCTCTACACGCTTCTTCATCTGTTATTATTAGCTGCCCCTTCGACTTCTTCTTCATTTCGGTCCAAGCGCGGCAATGAGTGATCAGTTCATCACCAATGCTTGCGAGGGAACCACCTAGAGAGGTCCTAGCACAAGCTACCTCTGGGTAGCTAGCCAGGTTGGGGCCTACAACAATCTCTGCCATCAGGATCTTTGGACAGGAGGGTCCCTGCTCAGCACACGCTTCTATCGTCCTGTCCAAGTCCGAAGTCCCTGTAGAGGTGATTGCAACCTCTACTGGCTGTTCCCTTTTGGGTACCGATATTCAGGATAAAAAAAGGAACAATGTGGTCGGGGTCACCACACTTGAAACATTGCCCGGTCTTGTGACGATCATCCCATACCTTTTCGTCTATTCCCATCTCCATCCAAAGTTTGCCCTCAGCTATTCCCGGTTGGTTTGGATACGGCCGCAAAGTCCTACCTCTACCTCTAACCCCTATGAAGGGAGAACCTCTTCCACGTTGTGAGAAACCATAACGCCTACCTCCCGTAGTAGGCACCTTTTCCACTACCCCTCTGGGCAACGGGTTCTCGACCTCCATCTTCTCCTCGACCTCCTCTACCTTGACCTCTACCTTGTCGCCCTCCCCCATGGGCTGCAACTGCCGCAAAGTCCCCTCCCCGGGCTACTTGGTTGTTGTTATCCTCATCTAGACCATAGTCTATCTGGTCATAGGGTAAGGACTCTACACCTCCTTCCTCGAAGGTGACTGACATATTGTCCTTCCCCTCTATGCTATATAGCCATATTCTTCCATCTCTTACCGGCCTGCATATCCTTCCAATAATGGTAGTTTGCCTCTCGCAGGAACCTGGCATGGTCTACAACTATCTTACTAAACTTCTCGGTAGGTCATCCCCTCCTCTTTAGTACGGGGATATAATTGGGTCTTAAGGGGTTTGAGAAGCGCTCTAGCGCAAGATCTGAGTGGGGGTCAGTCCGTGTTCCGGACATTGCAGCAGCTTGTCCATAGTGACCTTGAGTGTCGATTGTCGCTAATGTTAATGATGAGGGACTTGGTACGACGAGCTAAGTTCTTATCCTCAAAGTGGTACTTCAAGGCTTTGAAGAAGTCCTCAATCCTATTGCGCTGTGAGTATTGCACCATCGAGGTGCATCTGGCTTCCTTCACTAACGAAATAGCGAAGCTTTCTGTGTCTCCCCCTAGGCACGAACTTGCCATCAGTATGCGGTCCCAATATGGAATCAACTGCGCATACAGGTACGTGTCCATGGCTGCCTCCCAATGAAAAATGTTGTCCTCCTCCTCCTCCCTTCGTTCTCCTCCCTCTGGCTTATCTCCTTCCTTCCTTCCATTATCCTTTCTGGGACCCTTTCCTGTCTTGTCGCCATCCCCATCATCGTCACCATCTCCACCCCTGCCACCGCCACCTATCTTAACTGCAGCGATGGTGTTAGCCAGTTTCTGAGTGAAGATATCATCTAGTGGACGTGCTTACTGTAGGACCCTATGGTCCACTTGGCTGGATGACGCACTAAGGTAGGTATTCTAGATGCCCTTAAACTCCTCCTGGTGTTGTTCTACCTTTCCAACGGCTCGTTGAAATGCAGAGAGTTCCTGGGTGGTGTGCAGCACAGTGTCGGTTAGAAGGTTCCAGCCTTCCTCAGTTTCTGCTTGCTTCCCTTTCTGCTCCTTC